GCTGAGTCTACATCTGTCTGTCCTCCGTCCGTCGGGGGTGAGTGTGCTCTTGGCACGGACGTCCTTGAGGACAGGCAGGAGGACCTTGAGTGTCTTGCAGCTGCTGCGCCTCATCTCGTATCCATGCTGCTTGCCCCTGAGGGAGACCCGGATGCACCAGACATCCCTACCCCGCGCTCTTACGCTGAGGCGATCGCGGGTGAGTACTCCTCTCAGTGGCAGACAGCCATGGACGCAGAGATGGCATCCTGGAAGTCCACAGGCACCTACGTCGACGAGGTTCCCTCTCCTGGGGCGAACATTGTCAGTGGCATGTGGATTTTCAGGGTGAAGCGGCCGCCAGGTTCTCCGCCTGTCTTCAAGGCTCGTTACGTGGCTCAAGGCTTCAGTCAGCGAGAGGGAGTTGACTTCTTCTATACCTTCTCCCCCACCCCGAAGATGACCACTCTTCGGGTGCTGCTGCACGTTGCCGCTCAGCGTGACTACGAGCTTCACTCTCTTGAGTTCAGCACAGCCTTCTTACAGGGCAGCCTGCACGAAGAGATTTGGCTGCGCCGCCCTCCTGGCTTCACTGGGTCGTTCCCTCCTGGTACCCAGTGGAGCCTCCGGCGGCCGGTCTACGGTCTCCGCCAGGCGCCACGTGAATGGCACGACACACTGAGGACGACACTTGCGGCTCTTGGGTTTGCTCCGTCGACTGCTGACCCGTCGCTGTTTTTGCGCACCGACACTTCGCTGCCGCCGTTCTACGTTCTCGTGTACGTCGACGACTTGGTCTTTGCCACTGCTGACACTGAGGCTCTCGCCCTGGTGAAGTCGGAGCTGCAGAAGAGACACACGTGCACAGACCTGGGTGAACTGCGCAGCTACCTTGGCTTGCAGATCACCCGGGACAGAGCACGCCACACCATCACACTGACTCAGTCACACATGGTGCAGCAGGTCCTTCAGCGCTTCGGTTTCACCTGGTCCTCAGCACAGGCCACTCCTCTGGCTACAGGTCACTCGCTCTCAGCTCCACCTTCGGACGAGTCCGTAGAGCCGAGTGGTCCTTACCCAGAGTTAGTGGGCTGCCTCATGTACCTGATGACTTGCACTCGTCCTGACCTTGCGTACCCTCTTGGTCTTCTGGCTCGCTACGTGGCTCCTGGTCGACACCGAAAGGTGCACATGGATGCTGCCAAGAGGGTACTACGCTACTTGTGCAGTACATCGGGCATGGGGCTCGTGCTTGGAGGACGGGGTGACGTTGTCCTCACTGGTCACTCGGACGCCTCTTGGGTTGACGACCAGGCTACGCAGCGGTCGTCACAGGGTTATACCTTCAGCCTTGGTTCTGGTTCAGTTTCCTGGCGTTCTACACGTTCGTCTTCAGTTCTCGGCTCCAGCTGTGAGGCAGAGATCTACGCCACAGCCATGGCTGCACAGGAGCTGCGCTGGCTCACCTACCTGCTGACCGACTTGGGAGAGCGGCCTCGTTCTCCTCCAGTTCTGTACGTCGACAACAAGGCCGCCATTGCCTTGTGTCAGGAGCACAGACTGGAGCACAGAACAAAGCACATCGCTCTCCGTTACTTCCTTGCTCGAGAGCTGCAGCAGCGTGGCCAGCTTCGTCTTACCTACGTGGCCACTCGGGCCAACACTGCTGATATATTCACCAAGGCACTTCCGCCTGGTAATCATCAGCGTTTCTGCACTTTGTTAGGCCTTGTGCCCACTCTTCCTCACTTGTTGTAGGCTTTGTTTGTACCATGATTTATATGTATTTCAGCATGCTTGTTCTTGTAGGTAGATTTCACTGTACTGTTTTTGTTACATATATATCTCTGCATGTGAACTGGCCTTGTGGCCTTCTTGCTTGTGCTCAGACTGCGTGGTGACGTTGTGATCCACCCTGAGCTTGCTTTGCACTTCCTGACTGGTCTTGTGACCCTCTGTTCTCCCCCACTCTGCCTATGGGGGTGTGTCAAACATATGCATATCTATGTTATATTTTGGGTAGGCTTAGTGGGGTACACACTGTGGGGTACAACCCCTTAGGTTCATTTTCCTTGTACCAACCTTCTCGATAGTCGACATCACTCATGCCTAGCTTCTAAGACCAGGTGCAGGCTGCGGGTGTGGCATAAAGCTGACGGAGCCACGCTGGGGCTCATACGGAGCAAAGGTAGGTTGTTGTTGGTTTCCGCGCGCGTATGATGAACCATCGAGACTCATTGGTGTCGCTCTGTTGTTGTTGCTGTTGTATGATTGCGTAGGAGCTGCTTGCTGGTGTTGCTCGTAGAAGGACATGAAGGAGAAAAAATTCTCCATCATATTTGAGTCGAAGCCTGACGCTTGATTTCCAGGGATTTCTGTTGACTGTGCAGCTGGTCTTGTGCCTTCTTCTGTCTGTAGACCGGAGACTGGAGGTGGAGTAGGGGTGGTGCCGAGAGATCCGTTGGAGGAGCTCCTCTCCTTTTGCGTAGCCATGACTTGTATTGAAAAGTTTTAAAGAGTGATCTTGTCCTGCCTTGCTCTCGTACCATGTTGGGCTGAGAAAAGCCCTTAGGAACTTTTCAGGACTAAGATCGGGTGTTGATGTAGAGTTGTAATAGCGGAAGCTTTTAATGAAGAGTTTGACGTGAACCACCTTGTACTGGTTTGTGAGAACAAGATAAGTTGATAATAACAAAGAGATACAAGCTTTTATATGATTACAAGGAATATGAAAGGTTCTATTTTAACTGTTTTGCTGTTGCGGTTCGATACAGTGCCGACTCGGGTAACTGCTCTGTAACGAGTCAGTTATATGACCTTGCTGTCGCACTGTGCATTTCGTCAGGTCAAAGGTCGGGGACCTTAAACCTTCGCGTAACCTCCGACAGTTGACTCGCGTGCTTCTTCGCTGTAATCAGTTCTGTTTTGTGTCTCAGCTTCGATACGACAGAGGCGCTATAAATCACTTGTTTCCAACACGGATAAACGCCGGCGCTTATAAAAGGATGACGGCGCTCATATCCGGTCCTCGATTATAAGCCCACCCACTAAAGGCTTACGGATTATAAGCGCCACCATCTGTTTGTTTTTGCTATAATTTTACTGAAATCGTTGTAACGAAACTCACATTTTCCATTCCCACATTATTGAATTTCGATGCCCTTCACCTTGCTCAACTCATTTCCTGCGCGTCGAGTCAGAATGAGCTGTCGGCAGCGTAAGTTGACTCATTCTGACTCTGTGTGTTGGCAGGGAATCATTCCGTGCCAATTGGCGCGAGATTCTCAATTCCAGCCCTGTATAGTTTCGGCTCGATTCAAATTGCAAGAACGTGATCTGCAATTTGGAGTAAGAAATACGCATTTCATAAATGTCATTATATAAGCGCCGGCGCTTATAAAAATCCTCTATTATAAGCGCACCCCCTAAAAAAATGTTTTTTATGCCCCCAGGGGCGCTTCTATCGGGGACTGACGGTAGCGTTGGCAGATTATGGATGTCATTTGCGTCACAATGTTGTCAAACATATCGACTATACGACCACTGTCCGTGGCAAAAGCTTATTTGACCATACTGGTGTCGATGTTAGCACTAGCGCGTAAAAACAGTCATTTTACAAGGGCGATGCGGTAGCGTATCGCGTTTGCCACGCGCTCAGCTCCTTGACCAATGCTGGATGTCTGGGAGTAGACCCGCAAATTCTACCATGGTGCCCAAACTCTGATGTATGAATAATTGCTGCCTGTAATCTCCACCATGTCGCGCGAACCCCGTTCCCTCCACCTGCACCAAACCTGCAATTCTACACCAAGCCTGCCATTCTACACCAAACCATCTTCGAAATGATATCGCGGTAATACGAGAGAATATGTCATTTGTAACCAGCATGGGACTCAATATTATTTTTGATTAACAAAACAAAGTTTACGGTCACTGCAAAGGGTGTTCTCACGCGACTGATAAAACATTTCATGTAATCAGTCACTATCAACTCGTAAAAAAAAAACGTGAATGGTCATAGATGAAACTCCCGCCAAAACAAAATGAAACCCAAAAGGAACCTGGATGCATTTTCTTATGAATGAACCCTAAACACGTAACTCACCAGGTGTTTAGGGTTGATCCGTTCCCAAACCGCATCCGATTCCGATTGGGTTTTAGTTTTTTGAAGCTTAGCAGATTGGTTGAGCGCAAGCGGGAATTTTGTTGAGTTTTTTTTTTTTTTTTTGCGGAGATACATGTGTGACCATTCACGTGATTTTTTACCTGCTGTTAGTGACTGAATCCGTGACCCCACTTACCAAACCCGTCAGGAAACCCGATACAGTGACCGTATGATTGTTTTGTTTAAAATTTACGTTATCAAGTACCGATTTGGTTACTTGTGGCATATTTTCCCCGGTAAGATACACACACTACGATTTCGCGACTAGCAAAACGTTTTTGGGCCAATTGGGTTGCACCTCTACAGACTTTTGTCTGTACGTGTAACGCGTTCCACATTCCCAACAAGCAGGGCAAACTGTCGCTACCTCGAGGTGTGGTATGGAATGGCGTTGAGGTGCTGTTCAGATCGCGCACCGTCAATTGCCCTTGCCGAGCCTATCCGGTGCCCAGAATTACCTCTGCTGGTCGGTTCGGCTGGACGATTATCGCCTCGCCACATAGAGCACACAAAATTTCATGTTTTTTTCTTTGCCCCTTTTAGCGCGCTGGTGCGGGGATAGTTGCAACCAGCGTGGTGTGAGCTTCATGGTTGGGCATTATTTGGGGTCACTAGGGAGCAGGTCGAGAAAGTCGCCACCATTGTTGGTAGAAAAGGGAAAAGCGCCGCAGTTGGCGCCTGCTCTGCTTCTCTCAAATCAACTCAACTCCCTTGTCACGCCAATCTCCCGCTCGAACTCTAAAACGACCGGGAGGACTAGTGAACGCGACATGTGATAAGCCATAGAACGCCAAATCTGGCAGCAACCCTTTACATTGCGCCTCGTGCAACGGCCAACATTCAACAAACCGCAGTCATGGCCCTTGTTGAACTCGACTCCTCCGAAGTCGACCTGCACTGCACGTCCCCCCTTTCTCTCCCCATCCCTCTCGCCGTTCCTCTCCTGAGCTACAGCCTCTGGTTGTCCACTCAGCCTCGTGCCAAGCCTTCCCTTCGGCTTCGGGATTTCTTGCAGGAGCTCTCCGATGCCTCGCCGCCGTCGATTCGGCAAGGATCCTGCGGTGCGGAGGAGGGCGAATGTGAAGTCTTGGTACCGCCTGAGACGCAGTTATTCGATGTGTCGCGTCGAGGAAACTACATTCCTGCCGTCAATGAGTCGTATCAAGAAAAGCCTACCAAACCTCTCGCAGCAGGTGATGAAATCGTCACGTGTTTACAGACGACAAGCGATTCTATCGAGTCAACGGCCAACGGGGATGCAAGGGAGGGAAAGGACGCGCAGAGTGGGTCGGCGCGCCCTTCATGCGACAGCAAAGGCTCGTGCGATAGCGAGCGATCGTGCGACAGCGAGGATTTGTCAAGCGACGACGAATCGTCAAGCAGTGACGAGTCGTGCAGTGGATTCTCGTCGTTCGGGAGTGAAGATTCCTTCGAACTTTCCAATTCCTCCGCCGCAGGCAGCGGACGAGCTGCCGAGCCGCTGATTGGCCAATCATCGCCGAGCGCCGCGCTGGCTCAACCAAACGACGTTGACTCATTCATACCCGCGTTGACTCTCGACGACGACCGACCCTTCAACGCCACTTGGCCGTTCGGGCCGTACAGGTTCCCGCCGGTGTCGCCGGCGCGTGCGACAGGATCGCCCAGCAAGTCGCCCAACAGCAAGGGGCAGCGGGTTCGGTGGTGCGACGAAGAGGACGGCGGGTCGCTCGTCGATGTTCGCGAATTTGAGCGAAGGTGCGTCGCATAAGGCTGTAACAAGACACGCATTCTGCCACCACGTGCGACCATGTGCGACGATGTGCGACCGGGTGCACTGATCCTATTTCCGCTCGCTCATGTCCTCCTGGCTTCAGCCCCATCTACTCCCTTCAGTCCCCCCTCTTCCCCCCTCCCTCCCCTCTCTCCCTTCTCCGCTCTCTCTTCCGCTGCATTTGCATTGCGCGCGGTGGCATGCGAGGACATCCCCCAATCTTTTCGCGCCTTCCCCCCACAAACTTCTGCCCCTTCTCTCCCCCATCCCCCTCCTTTCCCTTACCTCCATCCCCCTGCCGCTCTCTCTCCCTCTGGACATCGCGCAGCGACGTGGAGTGGGAGGATATTCATCTGCCGCCCAGGCGACGCAGATACGACGCGACCGACGAGGATGACGTGTGCGGATGCGCGGTGCAGTGATGACGTGTGACGACGCACAGGGGGGGATGTAGGAGGGGGAATTGGGGAGGGGGAGGAGGAAAGGGGAGGAGGGGGAAGAGGGGATGGATGAGGGTGGAGAGGGCGGTGGAGGTCAACGCTTCACCAAGCCCTTCCAGGGGCAGCGCACGTGTTGGGTGGCGGGGGGTGTTGGGTAGGGGGAAAGAGCAGGGGACGTGGCAGAACAAGCAAGAGCAGAGGGGAAACAGGGGTTGAAGGAGAGCAAGCATGAGAGGGCGGGTGGAGCGATGCTGCCCTTCTTCCAGACCAGACCTTCACTCTATCCTATCCAGGGGTGCATGGGGATCATGAGAGCTTGGAAATAAGGCACGGCACACACGCACAGCACAGCACAGTCATGTAACGGCACGGCACGGCATACACGCTCAAAGCATTGATTTGTGCAGTCAGAGAGTGGGTGTTGGGCCCTGGTGCTGCAGGCAAGGCAGCAGACAGTGGGTGGCCTGATTCCTGAACCTTGTCCTTGGGAGTCCGTGTGCTTCATCGGCCTAATGCGGTGCTACGGGTGTGGTGCAATGCTAAGGGATTATTTGATGTGGTTGTGGTTGTGATTGTTTGATATGGTGTGATTGGGCTTGATTTTGGGATGTTTGTAGGTGGGATGAATTCTGGTGGGGTGCCAACAGGTGGTAATTTCTGAGTCATGTCATGTGCCCTAAATGCAATGTTCAGTCATCATCGCTCTTACAAGTTACCACTAGTTGCGAGCGGTTTCGGCTTTCACCGTACGACTGATCCTGTCTCCGGAATGGATACTGACCGCATCAAGGGTTTGGTTGTCCCGCATGTCGCCGATGAATACCGCTGGCTGCACACCATGGAGTTCAAGTCCCTGCCAGGAAGGAAGTTTCTCATCCATTTCCCGAGTGTTTAACTGTGATTTCTGTGGAGGACAGCATCTGACTCGCTATCATGATGACTACGTCACTCCGCGACATGACAACATGAGCCGCTGGAACCTTACGGTAGCAAAAGCTCACAGATTCAATGGTAAAGGGAGCGGTGCTTTTACCTCGGCTTCGCGTCTCGTTTTGATTGTTGTTGATGTTGGGCTGAGAACAAGCCCTTAAGATCTTTTAAAGGCTAAGACTTTGGGTAGAGATGTTGTAATTGCGGAAGCGTATAGTAATCTTGTCGAACCACCTTGCACTAGTGTGTGAGAGCAAGAGGTTGATCATAGCAAGGTAATACAAGGTCTTTTATAAGATTACAAGGAATATGAAAAGGTGCAACTAACTGTTTTGCTGTTGCGGTTCGATGCAGTAACTGTTGGAAACAATTGATTTAGCGCCTCTGTCGTGTCGAAACAAGTCAGAAGCGAAGCAAAACATATCGAAGCATTAGCGGGTCAACCCTCGGAGGTTGAACAACTGCTGGAGGTTATGCGAAAGTCAAAGGTCAGCGACTTTTGACCTGACAAATACAGCGCGACAGCAAGGACAAACAACTGACTCGCTATTGAGCAGTTGCCCGAGTCGTCACTGTATCGAACCGCAAGAGCAACAGCAAAACAGTTATTAACTGTATCTCTTCGTATTCCTTGTACTCAGGGCCTCAGAAGTCAGCGAAAAAACGCTGATTTAGGGTCTGGACGCTGATTTCCCAGACATGTGGGCGATGTGTTGGCTGATAATTCAGTTTTTTTTGTAATGTTTTGGCTTATTGTTCAGGTTTTTTTTTAATGTTTTGGCTGATTTTCCAGCGTTTTTTTACAAGTGTTCGCTGATTGATCAGACTTGTAACGAGAGTGTAGGCTGAAGTCACGCTATTACAGATTCGTGCCGGAGCCGTGAGTTTCGGCTGTCCAGGTACATCCACCGGCAATCACGCAAAATTTGCCATGCACAGCGCCGACGCGGGGGGAAAACGAATTTCCCCGACGCGTCGGTTGCTTCGTTGTCACCGTCAGAATGCTTAAGCAGATGTGATTGGTTGTTAAACCAATCACATCCCTTATGCGCCAATCACTCACCACCAGTGCAGCACAGCAACGCACCGCACGCACTCACGACAAGGACACCCACCTCACCCCATCTCACCCACCCCGAACCTGCATCTAAGTGCGTGCATGGTGCCCCCACGTCGCGCCGCGTTGTAGTTGGGTGGTGAGAACGATAGGGCCTTCTGTTATGGCTCTCTCTTGATGACCCCACCGTACCCACCCACCAGGCGAGCTGCAATGTCAATCCCCGCCTCTAGCCCTGGTTTTCTCAAACCCTTGCTAGCAACGTTGGAGCTCGGCACGCTTTCCCGTTTCAGCCATGGCCGGCCTTGCAGAAGGCGTAGCTTGCGATGATGATGCAGGCATGGATAGCAGCGATGATGAATTAGACGGCCTAGAGGAAGCCAGGACGGGGCTTGATATGCTCCTGCGCTCGCTTGCCCCTGGTGTCCTCGCCAGGCCTCCTACTGCAAAGCCTGCACTAGACGAGAGGGTGCACCGCGACCACCCACCGGTTTCTTCAAGCCCGGATTCCATCCGGAGTGAGCCTGCTGCGCCGGCTGCCGTCACCGACACGGTGGTTGTCGAGTCGCCAACAACAAAGTTCACTGCCCCGCGCAACTTCAAGCTGAAGCAGTCGACGCTGAGCTGGGCAAAACCATCTTCGAGCACCGCCGTCGAGCAACCTGTCGTGAACAACACATCCCCTCTTCCATCCTTGGTCATAGACATTTCGGAGGCCATTGAAGCAGTATATGCAGACGCTCTTTTTAAGTACAAAACCAAGTGGGCTGAGAGGTTCTCGTGGCTTGTGCTAACCAAATCTAAATCTGGTTTCCCTGCTTTTAAGTGCAGTGTCTGCTGTCAGAAGACTTGCACTGTGAGATCCCCGATTGATCCTTGGGGGGGTTACAGGCCTGTTAGCCTGGGGGGTTATGGGCGCACTGACCCGCTACTGAAACAAGCCCTTTTATCCCAGTGGTCTAGTGACTGGGATTCTGACATGGTATCAGAGTGGTCTCGGGTTCGAATCCCGGTGTATGCACATGCAGGCTGTTGCCGCTGTGCCGAGTCCTGGACCTCCCAGTGTGGAGGGGTGTCAGAAGACTTGCACTGTGAGATCCCCGATTGATCCTTGGGGGGGTTATAGGCCTGTTAGCCTGGGGGGTTATGGGCGCACTGACCCGCTACTGAAACAAGCCCTTTTATCCCAGTGGTCTAGTGACTGGGATTCTGACATCTGCACCAAGCATGCCGGAGTCAGGGGACGATGTGGCCGGACAGGGCGAGGGGCGACCGACGTGCAGACGCAGGCGTTTCGCAAGCACGCCGGCACGACGAAACACAGGCTGGCGATGGAGAAGCAAGAGGCTCTGCTGAACGCAGCCTCAAAGCAGCCACGGATCGACCAACATCGAGCCGCCGTCGATGCTGAGAAGAACCGCGTCGTGGCGTTGCTCGACTCCATGCTGTTCGTCAGTTCCTGCGATGCGCCCATGGGAACATGGGTGAAGCTGGTGCAGTACCTCGCGCGCAAGGGTGTCAAGGGCTTCCCTAAGAAGGGATATGGCACCTACTACACATCGTGAGTAGTAGTCACATTTGTATTGCGTTGGTGTTTAGATGTTCAACCCTAAACCCTCTTCTCATCTCTTGTCTTTGGTTTCCCTGCGTGCAGGTACGGCTTCGGTGAGCTCACGCAGGCCCTTGCTACCTGGCTACAGACAACTCAGCTGGAGCACATCCTGACAAGCCCTTTCATCGGCATCTGCATCGATGAAAGCACGGATCGGCTCAGGGGGAAGCACATGATCTTGTACGCATCGTTCATCCGCGACAACGTGCTCGTGACCGAGTTCATGCAGCTGATCACGGTGGAAAAGGCGGACGCATCTACTCTTCTTAGCATCCTGCTTTCCCACTTGCAGTCCGTCGGTGTCGATCTGCAGAGAATTTCCGGCATTAGCACCGACAGCGCAAGAGTGATGATGGGGTCTAAGGCCGGCCTGGTTGTCCGCCTGCGATAGAAAATCCCGCACCTTGTCTCCGTTCACTGCATCGCTCACAGGTTAGTGAGCTCCGCTGCTACGTTTTCAGCCCGTTACGCCATCTGGTTCGAGCTTGTGTTTAATTTCCTGAGTTTGATGTGTTCCACTTGCAGGGAGGCACTTGCAGCGAAGGATGCAGCAGAGGAGCTCCCCGTCTTCGACATGGTCGACGATCTCATCCGGGCTGTGGCCGATTTGCTTGGTCGGTCGGGACCGCGCCACGCACGGTTCATGGACCTGCAGGAGGTCATCACCGAAACGAGCCTTGAAGTGCAAGGCATCCATTCCGTTCGGTGGCTGTCAAGGGGGGATGCCGTCCATCGCCTTGTCGATGAAGGAGCTTAACAGCAAGATGTACAAGCTGGCAAGCTCCTACCGTTTTCACTTCTTCCTTTACTTCCTGGCTGATGTGCTTGGGCAGCTCAACATTTTGAACAAGACCTTCCAGCAGAAACAGGTGAGGTGGTGCGAATATAGCTACGCATGTCCCCAAATTTACCATTCTAACTATGTCACAGTGTGCCTCTGTCTGTCCAGCTCGATCTGGTGTCTTTGCATGCGCAGATCAAGCGGACAACGCATCACATCGAGAGCCGCTACGTGGACTGCGGCGATGACTTCGGCGGCGGCATGAGCCAGTGGCTGTCACCTTTCCTGGAGCGTCATGGCCCGGGGTGTAGCCGCGAAGTGAAGGTGGAAGGTGTCGACAGCGACGGCCGACCATCTTCTATCACGTTCACCCTTCACGACGAGCCCGTGGACTCGTACAGCGGCCCGGAGGACCACGACGGCTGCATCAAGTTGTGCACCGAGTTTGCAGAGAGGATCGTGGCGAACCTGGAGGGAAGGCTCGGCGATCTCGACTCGCTTTCTGGAGTCCGCCTGTTCACACCTGATGCATGGCCGCAAAGCAAGTCTGAGCGGAACGCTCGTTGCCAGGAGTGGCTTCAGTCGCTGGTGACGATGTTCAAGGCTCAGGACCGTGAGGAAATCTTGCCAGGTTCGTTGTGGCAGATTTGTGAACCTATGATATCTTATCTATGCTTGAAAATCCTTTGTGGTGCACCTGTTTGCTCATGTGCCTCATCTTAACCCTCCCTCCCTCCCTTCCACCAGGCATCAACAAGAGGCAGGCAGGCAAGGAGCT